AAGAGTGCTCCAAGCAGCTTTTGAAGCTTTTAAGCAAATGGCAATACAACTACATTCTTGTTCAACTCTGGAAGCTATTATTCAACGTTTGATCAACTCAGGTGTTGTATAAGAGCTCCCAATGGTTTGTTTTGATGCGTTTATTCCACATCCTTTATGGCTCCTGTCAAACAGTTTAACCGAACGTAAACAATCATTTAAGAGTGCTCCAAGCAGTTTTTGAAGCTTTTAACCAAATGGCAATACAACTACATTCTTGTACAACTCTGGAAGCTATTATTCAACGTTTGATCAACTCAGGTGTTGTATAAGAGCTCCCAATGGTTTGTTTTGATGCGTTTATTCCACATCCTTTATGGCTCCTGTCAAACAGTTTAACCGAACGTAAACAATCATTTAAGAGTGCTCCAAGCAGTTTTTGAAGCTTTTAACCAAATGGCAATACAACTACATTCTTGTACAACTCTGGAAGCTATTATTCAACGTTTGATCAACTCAGGTGTTGTATAAGAGCTCCCAATGGTTTGTTGTGATGCGTTTATTCCACGTTCTGTATAGCTTTTGTGAATCAGTTTAACTAAGGTGCTATAAAAGTTATCGTAGGTCTTATAAAGCATATAGTTAAACCGAACGTAAACAATCATTTAAGAGTGCTCCAAGCAGCTTTTGAAGCTTTTAAGCAAATTGCAATACAACTACATTCTTGTTCAACTCTGGAAGCTATTATTCAACGTTTGATCAACTCCGGTGTTGTATAAGAGCTCCCAATGGTTTGTTTTGATGCGTTTATTCCACATCCTATAGAAGCTCTTGTCAAACAGTTTAACCGAACGTAAACAATCATTTAAGAGTGCTCCAAGCAGTTTTTGAAGCTTTTAACCAAATGGCAATACAACTACATTCTTGTACAACTCTGGAAGCTATTATTCAACGTTTGATCAACTCAGGTGTTGTATAAGAGCTCCCAATGGTTTGTTTTGATGCGTTTATTCCACATCCTTTATGGCTCCTGTCAAACAGTTTAACCGAACGTAAACAATCATTTAAGAGTGCTCCAAGCAGTTTTTGAAGCTTTTAACCAAATGGCAATACAACTACATTCTTGTACAACTCTGGAAGCTATTATTCAACGTTTGATCAACTCAGGTGTTGTATAAGAGCTCCCAATGGTTTGTTTTGATGCGTTTATTCCACATCCTATAGAAGCTCCTGTCAAACAGTTTAACCGAACGTAAACAATCATTTAAGAGTGCTCCAAGCAGTTTTTGAAGCTTTTAACCAAATGGCAATACAACTACATTCTTGTACAACTCTGGAAGCTATTATTCAACGTTTGATCAACTCAGGTGTTGTATAAGAGCTCCCAATGGTTTGTTTTGATGCGTTTATTCCACATCCTTTATGGCTCCTGTCAAACAGTTTAACCGAACGTAAACAATCATTTAAGAGTGCTCCAAGCAGTTTTTGAAGCTTTTAACCAAATGGCAATACAACTACATTCTTGTACAACTCTGGAAGCTATTATTCAACGTTTGATCAACTCAGGTGTTGTATAAGAGCTCCCAATGGTTTGTTTTGATGCGTTTATTCCACATCCTATAGAAGCTCCTGTCAAACAGTTTAACCGAACGTAAACAATCATTTAAGAGTGCTCCAAGCAGTTTTTGAAGCTTTTAACCAAATGGCAATACAACTACATTCTTGTACAACTCTGGAAGCTATTATTCAACGTTTGATCAACTCAGGTGTTGTATAAGAGCTCCCAATGGTTTGTTTTGATGCGTTTATTCCACATCCTATAGAAGCTCCTGTCAAACAGTTTAACCGAACGTAAACAATCATTTAAGAGTGCTCCAAGCAGTTTTTGAAGCGTTTAATCAAATGGCAATACAACTACATTCTTGTACAACTCTGGAAGCTATTATTCAACGTTTGATCAACTCAGGTGTTGTATAAGAGCTCCCAATGGTTTGTTGTGATGCGTTTATTCCACGTTCTGTATAGCTTTTGTGAATCAGTTTAACTAAGGTGCTATAAAAGTTATCGTAGGTCTTATAAAGCATATAGTTAAACCGAACGTAAATAATCATTTAGGAGTGCTCCAATAGCTTTTAAAACTTTTAATCAAATGGCAATACAACTACATTCCTGTTCAACTCTGGAAGCTATTATTCAACGTTTGATCAACTCAGGTGTTTTATAAGAGCTCTCAATTGTTTGTTGGGTAATCTCCAATCGTGATTGCTTTCAAGCCTTCTATAGTTCCTCTGTAAATTTTGATCTGACCATGATGCAAGAAATCCATGGAATACCAGATCACCATCGGTCGATGGTTGTTCCCTCAATTTTTGCAATCAAGTACCACCATGTAAGTAACGATAAAAGATTTTTCACAGATGGGTCAACCATAAATGCTTCCACTGGATTTGGTGTATTTAATCAATTTCATACCGCCTCCTATAAACTGCAAAAACCATGCTCCGTATACGTTGCGGAACTCGCAGCTATATTTTACGCAGTAGAGCGAATTGCCTCACTACCTTCTGACCATTATTTCATTTTTACGGATAGTCTTAGCTCATTGGAGGCTATTCGTTCAATGAGGCCGATGAAGCACTCCTCGTATTTCCTGCCTGAAATACGATCTAAACTGAGTGCTTTATCTAACTGCTCCTATACTATCACCTTAGCTTGGGTCCCATCTCATTGCTCAATTCCGGGTAATGAGAAAGCGGACTCGTTGGCTAAGGTGGGCGATATTTTTGAGCGACAAATCGCCTTCAACGAATTTTTCTCCATTGCTCGTCAGCAAGTCCTCATCAGTTGGCAACACAAATGGAATGATGGTGAATTGGGAAGATGGTTACATTCTATTCTCCCACAGGTGTCGAACAAACCATGGTTCAAAGGGTTGGACATGAGCCGCGACTTTATACCCGTTATATCAAGGCTTATGTCCAATCACTGCTCGTTAGACTCGCACTTCTATCGAATTGGGCTCTCAGACAGCAATTTATGTGCGTGTGGCAGTGGTTATCACGATATCGAGCATGTTGTTTGGTCGTGTACCCTACACCGTGTTGCCAGATCTGATTTATCCACATCCCTCAGGGCCCGAGGAAAACAACCCGCGATACCCGTTAGAGATGTCTTGGCGAGCCGAGATCTCGAAAATATGTTTTTGTATGAGAATTTCGTTCGAAACGAAATACACAATAGGGGTGAATATCACAAAGTTTCGTCGGTTTCACTGAACTGGAACGGATTTGACACCCACCCCGAAGGCCCCCCGGATCCAAACATCCACAGACTTTCCATAATCGGAGTAATTTAGATGCCCTGTCTGCAGATGTCCATTTATTTGCTATCTATTTTATTTTGATTTATCCAGCATTCAAATCAGTGCTAACATTTGAAAACGGCGCAAAAGCCATTTGTAAACAAATGGTTTGTGGGCCCTTTACTCGCTACCCGAAGAAGGCCCACGCAAACCAACAGCATCGTCAGGAAGGGGAAAATTTCCCCTACCCGATGTTGCTGTTGTGTCGCGTGGGTGTACTTCAAGTAGTGAGTAAAGGGCCCATAGGGGTTTTAAACATTATTATCAATGGATTCAAACATAGAATACGTTTGAAATCAACCTAGTTTATGTTTGTGGCCAGAACAAACTGAGTTTACGTTTAAATTTTCCTCAAATATTTTTGTTTCGACGGTAAATTTTTCTGCGTGAAATGAGCAAAATATTGCGATGCAATCAATTATTCATTTACACGTAAATCGAATCAAAAGTAAAAGTCATGTGAAATGCTAAGTTTTAGCAAGGGTTGCAAGATAATTTAGGTACAAATACCTGCTGCCGAATTGTATTTTGTTTTCTCCGCCTATCTCTCCCTCTGAGTATTTCTACCCGCATAAGCACGAACCATAAATTGACCTTACCTAAAATGGTTAAAACATTTTATAATCCCTGCTAAACTTCAACTGAAATGGTTATGGAACTTTACATGAACGTTTAATGATAAAGTTTTAACCTTAAGTATTATAATTTTTTGGAAGTGTACCTTACAAATAATGGGTTGTTAAGAACCATTACCATTCAAAATTCTTGTTTTCTCCATACATTTTCGGAAAGAAAACTATACTAAAACCTTTTAACTTATGGTTTGAGAACATTAATGGTAATGGTTATGGTAACCAGTAAGGTCCATGAATGGTTTTGTAACATCGATCAACTTTATGTGGAATATATCGCGAATTGGTTGCCTGTAAATTACTGATTACCAATTCACGATATATTTCACGTAAAGTTGAGCGATAATACAAAACCATTAATGGACCTTACTGACTACCATAACCATAACCATTAATGTTCTCAAACCATAAGTAAAAACGTTCTAATATAGTTCTCTTTCCGAAAATGTATGGAGAAAACAAGAATTTGCAATGGTAATGGTTCTTAACAACCCATTATTTGTAAGGTCCGCTTCCAAAAAACCATAATACATAAGGTTAAAACTTTATCACACAAACGTTCATGTAAAGTTCCATAACCATTTCAGTTGAAGTTTAGCAAGGATTATAAACAATTTATAACCGTTATCGGTAAGGTCATGTGATGGTTCGCGTTTATGCGGGTAGTCACCACTGCAACAGACAATAATTTTGGGTAGTTTTTCATCTCCGTGTACGTGTAAGTGTACACGCTATTTTAAAACTACCCAAATTTGGGTAGAATCCACCCAGATCGGTCAAAACTGAACCTACCCAAAAATGGGTAAACTAAGTTCGGATAGACAAGATCACAAATGGACAACATCGACATGAATCCGATCGACTTTGTTCATTTGTCAACTTGTAACTCCGAACATAGTTTTACCATTTTTGGGTAGGTTCAGCTTTAACGATTTGGATGGACTCTCCAAATTTGAGTTGTTTTGAAATAGCGTGTATAGCAGTTTGACAGCTGCAGTACTAACTATTCTTCTTCTTTACTACACCAAAATTGAGAAGTTTTCTGTGGATCAGCAATAAAACAGATACAAACAAAAATGAATTCTACATTTCCTTTTATTCATAGCTGTGACCTCAATCAAAAATTGCAGATAAAAATGTAAGTAATTTCGAAAGGAAATTTGTAATGTATGCTTTGATTTTGATGAATTACTATTGATACCTGCTGAAATATGTTCGCGTATATACATGTTTACATCCCGAGCAGGAACGAATATCTCGATACATAAAATTGGTATGGATTAACCTGACATGAGAGGTAAAATACCAAAAAATTATCTTACAATACCACGGCGAGATGGACCAGCCATGGTCTTAGCCTGTCTGAAAAGACAAATCCAAAGAAAAAAAAATCTTACAATACCATTCCAATACCAAATTATGATAATGCAATACCACCCAGGTATTCTTTTGGTATCCAAATATCAATTTTTGGTATTCACAAAGTATTTTGCATGTAATTTTATGGTATTATTCTTTGGTATTTTACCTCTTATGTCATGCTGGTTAATACCAAATTTTGGTATCAGATCAGAATTAGGTATTCATTAGTTATTTTCTCCTACTCGGGATAGGTACACGGATTGAAATCTCATTAGGTTCTGCATCGTGACGTCACTCATTGACATTTCAGTGGTACTGTTTACAAGCACTTAAGATTTTTTTCGTGATAAACTTGTGACTTATATAATTTAATTCGAAAAATCCCGAGGAAATGCGCGGTGAAAGGATGTTGCTGGTTAAAATCGCAGAAATATGGCTTCACATCCAATGCAGTTTAAAAATGTATCGAGAAAAAAACAACAACTAAGTACCACTGAACTGTCAAAAAATTTATCCGATTGAGATTAACCCCTGATAGTGAAGAACCGAACACGTCGTTAAGCGAATTTACCATAACATGTTTATTAGAGATTCCAGATTGTCGAATCGGAAGACGATCATTTTTATTTCAAGTGTAAAACTAAACAGTGCCAGTGACCGGAAATCCCAGTGAAACAACGCAGGTATGCAAACAAATACAGGTGCATGTAGAATGCACTCTCTTAAATATTCCGTAAGAAATTGATTACTACACCTATTTTTTTCTATGATTGTTGTTCAGACACTATCTGGGATTCTGTCCTTGGTATATACTGGGATCAGGTTTCAGTCTATGTTTCTTGACTGCATCACCACGGAACAGCCACCTTCAAATAGGACACTTCACTGAGCAATGTATTATTATAATCCTAATTACTATCATAAAAGATACTTTTGATATTAAATAAAAATTCACAAATAATTATGAGAACTTTAAATTTAAAATCCCCGGAAACAAAAATAATCTTTTCACGGAACAGTAGGTAAAATTACCGAACCGATCGGTAAAAGTTACCGAATAGAGGAAGCCCACCGTTGGGGGAATATAACTTCCTCTCCAATCTAATCTTGGACAGCGCGCTTCGAGCTCAAACTCGGCCGGTTTCTGGAACGTCTTTCCGTAAGAAACCTCCTTCCCCTTGGTGGGACCAGCAATGCACTGTGAGGTTTATCGTATAAAGTCCGACACGTTTAAGCTTTACCGGAAACGTGATGAAATTTAATTTATTTTGAATTTCAGGTCATAACTAGTATCGTCTCATCGCGATGATATCGTGCATTCGAAAATTGTTGGAGAAAATGATCCTTTTTGGCTTGGACAAATGGGTTGAGACGAACCACCTACTCTCAGATACTCAATTTGGTTTCCGTAGGGGCAAGGGAACGAACGACTGTCTCGCGTTGCTTTCCACAGAAATTCAGTTGGCTTTTGCTAAAAAAGAGCAAATGGCTTCTGTATTCTTGGATATCAAGGGGGCTTTTGATTCAGTATCGGTTGAAGTCCTTTCAGACAAACTCCACGCTTGTGGCCTTTCTCCATTAATTAATAACTTTTTGTACAATTTGCTGTCAGAGAAACATATGAGCTTTTCTCATGGAAACTCTACAGCTTCTCGATTTAGTTAAATGGGTCTCCCCCAGGGCTCATGTTTAAGCCAGCTTTTGTATAATTTCTACGTCAGAGAAATTGACAATTATCTAAGTGACAACTGCACATTGAAACAACGATTCTGTGACACTACCCCGAATGTCACTACCCCGAACGCCATTACCCCGAATGCTACTACCCCGAATGTCCTACTACCCCGAATGCCATACTACCCCGAATGGCCATTACCCCGAAATTAAGACAAATGAAAGAACTGCAAGGGGTCAAAAGAAGGGTACATTTTTAGAAGGAAATTTCGTTTTGGAATTTATACTGAATACAAATGATAATTTTTTATTGGAATTTTGAAGCTTGCATGCGAGCAAGCTTGTTTTACGCGAGAAGCCCGAGAGATGTCGTTACTGAGGTCCTATGTTTTCAAGAAAAACTTTTTCAAAGTGTTATGTCTGTTGTCTGTGATTAAACTCTCTGATTAGTTTCACTTTACTAAATTGATGATACACTACGTTTACTTTTATGGAACTATGTATTTATCAATTCCAAACCATTTTAAAGCTCTTTAGAAAATGACAACCTTCAAGTTTTCGAGCCCCTCGTTCACCATTTAAAAAGTCAAAGGGTCTACTATGCAATCCAATTCAATATGCAATACCAGTCGGAAACTGTTAAACCTTATCAAAGAATTGTTCGACCTGAGTCTAGACCTGAGTTGAAGAATTTCTCGTTATGGATTGAAAAATCGGTGCATGGAACGTTGAACTATCGATTACAAATTTATAACATTATTCCACACGTTATTATCCCAAATGGTCATTACCCCGAATCCCTTGCCAAAAGCTATTGATTACATAGTTTCCTTATATATTAAAAGAAGGGAATATTCCCTTCCCTTCTTTATCATACATCCAAAGAATAAATTATTTTCTTTTTATATATTCAAAGAAAGGAATATTCCCTTCTTTATCGTTCATCCAATAATTAATTATTTCCTTTTGTTATACTTTCAAAGAAGGGAATATTCCCTTCTTTATCATATATTTAACGAATTGATTATTTTCTCTTTTATATATTAAAAGAAGGGAATATTCCGTTCTTTATCGTATATCCAAAGAATTAATTATTTCCTATTGTTATATTTTCAAAGATGTGAAACCCCCTTGAGCCATTAAGGGGCTGTTCATTAACTACGTAGACAGTTTTTTTTTTTGGGATTCTTGACCCCCCCCCCCCCTTCCCCTGCGTAGACAATTTCCCATACAAAATTTTTAAAATTTGTATGGACCGTGCACAATTGCCAACCCCCAGCCCCCTCCCCCCCCCCCCCCCTCTTCCCTAAACTGTCTTTACGTTACAGACATTCACAGACTTTTTAGTTTTTTCACAGATATTCACAGACTTTTGTAATCAAGGGAAACTTTTAAAATTTATTTGGTTACACTGTTTTACATCTTTAATCAAATAACACGTGCGATAAATTTTGCATCACGCATTAGAAATTCGCGCGTTTTCAAATTCACCACGCGAACGAGCTGTCACTGTTACAGGCGGTCATAGTTGTAGACGAAAATTTTCCAAACGTTTTGACGGTTTGTATGAATACGTCAACTCATGTTGGCCGGTCTATAACTTGACTGTCTATAGTCACTGTCACTGAAAAAGTGAATGAAACTGAGGGGGAACAAAGTCCCAGATTCATTCAAATTTTGCTAAAAATTACTCTAAAGTTCTATTTATTGATTTATCGTCGGAGAAATCCATTTTATCGGATTCATCCGATATAATCGTGCTCAAATCTCAAAAAACAAATAATATCGTTTTTTATCGGTCACATCTCTTATATCTGGTCACCTCTCTATAAGTATCATGACAGGTACCGATGACAGCCGTATGTTTATAAGAAAGGAACGGCGTGAAATCTCAACCAACATTTCAAAAAGGCGGATCAGCTTGTGTAATCAAATCTTCTAATGCTCTTTTCTCACAAATCGAAGCTCGCCTTGCCAAATCAACAACACCGTCGGCTAGAGAAAATTCTCTCCTATCCTATGGTGAAATTGGTTTGCGTAGCCGTGCTTCAGTTTGCAAGATAAGGTCAAATTTGCTGATCCACCCTTTAGTATTGTTGGTTGATAAATCTGTTCAAAATTCATTTATGGTGATTCCTTGAAGAGTCCACAAATTGCCTGATGATGGCTGCGATGCTCTATTGATGAATCTACGTTACGGTCGTCCAGCAGATGGAAATGATGTTAAAATGATAATGACGTTTTGCTACCACGAATCGTATGGAATATTTTTTTGTACATCATCGCTTTTGTGGTTTTGGATTTCAAATCTAGGTGTCGCATGCTCTGGTGCAGTTTCGCGTAGATTCATCAATCACTTCAAGTGTTCTACACGGAGAAAAAATACTACCCAAAATTTGAGTTCTTTTTACATAATATTGACTTCAGCCTCTCACTTGCACTCGTTATTGTTGTCAAAAAAGGAACGAGAGATTCGACCCAACGATATAGTTCAGCCCAATAAGTTACTTTTGAGTAAATTGCATATTCTCAAATTTACGTGAATTAAACTTAATTTTGGGTAGAATATACTTAAGAGTAGGTAATTTTTTTGCTGGTGTTAAATGGAAACTACTATATGCGATTTACTCAAATTTGGGTTATTGGGCTGAACCCCGGAATTGAGGGAAAAGTACTTAATTTTGGGTAGTTTTTCATCTCCGTGTAGAGCACAAATTTCGGACACAGTTGTCATATCACTCATGAAATTGGAACTCCCTGTTTGCTGCATCAAATGTGAAGTTCCAGTTTCAATTTTGTATGTTTTTCGGCAGCTGTATTCTTGAAATTTTGAAGTGATGGTATAGCGCATTACACACATTATAGGAAGTCGGCTGAAAGTCTCCTTAAGGTTCAATTTATTTTGATGCTTTTTCGAAAAATTCAAGAGCAGTTTTTTTCGACGCATTAGTTTAGATTGCAAAATGCTCGCACTATTCGATTCCTTTTGCTATTCTACACAAAATGACGCGAGCTTATAGCAATCTGAAATAATGCGTCGAAAAAAACTGCTTTTGATTTTTTCGAAAATGCATCAAAGTAAATTGAACCTTAATAAAGATA